CAATTACTCGGACACCTACAACCTTCACCATGCAAGCGAAGATTTGGATCGAAGGAAACATTGGAAATTAACATCTTATTTTTTTAATTCATTTTAAATCTTTGACAGCTTTCATTGTTTCGCAAAGTTTGTTCGATCTGTTTGTACCTTCTTCAACACTATTAAAAACGTTTTTAGTGCAATCTCAGCAGGAGTTTTATATGAAACACAATATCATTTCTGTTGCTAATCATTGGAACATTGTTTTATTTTATCTCTATTCTGGAATACACTTCTTTACCATCCTTTTACTTAATACTCAAGCAATGCAATACTCCTAGTGAAAATACTCATCAAGTGAGAACGGCTTGCCAGCATGAATACTCAAATTACACGCGCTAGCACTTGAACAGCAATTGTATTTATATGAATATTGTTTGTGTACTCTGAAGAGTACCAGTATGAATTTTTATCTACAGATTTAATCGTATACAACGCAAGTATAGATTGAACTTATGTATAGTCTGTTTAAAAAGTCCGTGCGTGTGACTGTTTTTTGAACAACTCGAGAAAGCAAACAGCTAGAGACCTGCGGTTTTCACCAATCGAAAGAGAAGGAGTTAGGGCGTCTTTCTCTCTGATAATGCGTCAGACGGAATTCTTTTAAAACTGATCATCTTTGAAAAATATAGAAAAGAATGCATGAAAGCGACATACAATACACATGAAGTTTCGATTATGACCTTTGATTTAGATAGAGGAACTTCAGACCTATAGTTCAAGATGCAACCAAAATGGCTCTCTAATTGCATTCTAACGTTGACCAAATGAAATCGTGTATTTACATGCACAAATAATAAGGAGTTTTGCTGATGTTTTACTATCTTTTTGCATTTTTTGTCATAACAGCTGGAAACTTCGATGAAAATGTAATGAAACGTAAGAAAGTGTATTATGTTTTGAACTATAGGTCTGAAGTCCCTCTATCTAAATCAAAGGTCATAATCGAAACTTCATGTGTATTGTATGTCGCTTTCATGCATTCTTTTCTATATTTTTCAAAGATGATCAGTTTTAAAAGAATTTCGTCCGACACATTATCAAAGAGAAAGACGCCCTAACTCCTCCTCTTTCGATTAGTGAAAACCGCAGATCTCTAGCTGTTTGATTTCTCGAGTTATTCAAAAAAACAGTCACACGCACGGACTTTTTAAACAGATTATAGTAAAGAGAAATGATATCATATAACGGACAGGAGAAAGAAACTATTTCAACGACTTATCTAATTTATCCCCTATTCTTTAATGATGAACCATTTATCCTACCTTACAAAGTAGTGACTTTAAGAAAAAAGAAAAGCAAAACGAATTTTAATATTAAACTGTTCATTTTTCGAGTAAGAATGAATATTCGGTTACCTGTATTACTAGACGTTCGTTAAAATTTTATTTTCTAAATTTACATAAAACGGTCTGTACTAAAAGTACAAAGTTTCAGATTAACTGTAACAAGAGATGAAAAAAACAAGCACTAGCAACTCTTGTTACAAGTCACTTGTGATTTAAAGTCATAAAGACATCTGGAGAAAGACAGAGACAAATAATTTCATCTCTTTGTGTTTCTTTATAAATCACTAAAGGATCACAGATGGTTGTAGATTAAAAAATGTCTATCTGAATAATTGTCTAATGATGAACACTATATTGCTATTCGTAATGAGAATTCTGCCTCAAAGAATAATCAATTTTTAATTTTAATTTTTCCATATTTACTGTGTTCAATTTGTGTTTTAGTGTACGCTTCCTTTAGGAGAAAGATAAATATTTCTTTAGCTTGTTATCATAAAAATCAGTCTTCGTTTATTTTGTTAAAAAAATCCAAGAAAAGAAAAACATTTGAAAAGTCGTGAAATTTTATTATAAAAAGGGTGTGGTGTAAGCGAAGAGAAGATGCACACCCACACATACCCTTTTTTATTTGATCCGATGCCTTATGAGGAAAAGTGAGGTTATAAAAAAATGTTTCATTTTCACGGCCTTATTTGACGGAGCTATAGTCTTGACTACACGAGGGAGTGTCTTGAAATTCGCAAAAAAGCACGTTTTTCGATACCTACCAGTATTTTAACTTTCACCTCGCCATTGTTTATCGTTTTCGTCGCGCCATGACTCATTCGAAAGTGGTCATCAAACTGAGCAAAAACGTTGTGTATAAAAATTTAGGTTTTTTTCAGAACCTCTTTTATTTCATTGCAAAGCATTTTTCGAGACTAGAAAGGTCGAATAGGAAACTCTGGTTAAGTATATTTTGTAGAGCATTTTGGACTCTACAAAATCCATTTTAAAAATTTCAGAAGAAAACGTCACGTGAGATTGTAGTTTGAAAGACAAAGAAGAAGTAAAGTATCTCTTTACCATGTAAAAGTGTCAAGCAAGTAAAACAAAAACTTGATCCTTTATCCATTAAATATTCATTTTCAAGCAATAACGAAACGTATGTTACCTGACTCAGCTTTTGTGCTGATATCGGGTATGATATAGATTTTGCTTGAAAATGCATGTTTAATGGATAAATGATCAAGTTTTTTGTTTTATTTTTCCTATACTTTACATGCTAGAAAGACTTTTTCTTCTCAAATTTTTACAATGGAGTTTGTAGAACGTAAAATTCTTTACAAGATACGCTTAGCTTGATTTCGCTACTCGACTTGCATACTCTGGAGAAATGGTTTTTAATGAAATAAACCTTGTTCTGAAATAACTTTGAGTTTTTTGGGAAAATTATTTTTTCCCTATGAAGACTAGAATTTTTGAAAGTCTTATAGGAGACATTCTTGTTGAGTTTGATAAGCTCTTTCGAATGAAATATTGCGCGAAAGAAACGGATGAAAAATGATGGAGTTAAATGTGAAATACTGAAAAGCATCGAAAAACATGTTTTTTTTGCGACATTTCAGTCTTCCCTCTTGTTGTCAAATCTATAGCTCCGTCAAATAGGAACCTGAAAATGAAAAAAATTTTCATAATCTTACTTTCCTTCACAAGCAATTGAATGAGACAAGCAAACCAAAATTGGTTTTTCAACATGTTCAAGCCATCTGGTGAGGATACTCGTTATTCTCACGAAACCTCTCTCAAAATTAAGAGAGTCAGATCTTGAAATGTAACCGTCTCAATCTCGTTTGATCTCAATGCAACCGCTTCAAGGCAGCCATTTCTCGAGCATCGATCGATCTCTGGACATGTTTTCGACTAATAATAAATCGAGAAATAGTCTAGGACAAAAGACATACGGAATAATATAAGGTCAGTATTTTCAAGTGAGTTGTTTACATCTAGTTGTATACGCAAAACAAAACGGTTAATGAATAGTTAACAGACAGATCAAGAAATACTCACAAGAGAGCACATAAATGCGACTCATTTTATTTTCGTGTTAAACGAGCGTAGAATGACTGTTATTCGTGAATCGAAAAGAATGAAACACAAAGAAAAAATAGTGAGTCTGGAGGGGAACTCAAATCTAGTCAGAATCACAACTGATACTCAGCCAGACTCTATTACCAAATAAGCTAACCAAATGTAGTCCTAAGTCTTCCATCAAATCAGCGTGAACTTGTATTTAAGTCTTTTTAATTAAGAAATAATAGCCGTGCTACCATCTTTTATTCGAACAATGGATAACAAAATTCTGCCATATATACATATATAAAATAATATATATATTTTCATTCAACGGCCGTAGGCAACCAATTTTTTAAATTCTTAATTATCGAAGTCGACTAAGGTTAGTACTCATACAACGAAATCTCTATTCGTAATATCACTCCAAACGATTAAAATACATGTTCACATCGGATTTCAGGTTGTATTAAGACTCTTTCGATAGGTTACTTCGTCAACGCGTCTGATTAATTACCAGCTGTAATACTACCTGGATTTGAATATCAGGCAAAACTCATTTCCTTTTCCTTGTGTTTCATTCTTTGCGTCTGATGAATAACAACCGTTCTACAAATTTTTATTCGACAAATGTCTTTATATTAAATCTACTTTTAATTGTTTCTCTAGATAAAATCAGTCTTTTTGCATTTCATAGGAAATATAAATATCTTTTCTCGCTAGAGTAGCAGAATTTTGTTGCAATTTACGCAAAACTAGTTCCTTTGGATACATATTTTCAAAGCATAATGCACGTAAACTTTCTAGCAAAGGTTTATTATTATTAGTTCTATCCATACAAGGAAAATTTCAGGTTTTTGTTAATTTTCAATCGTGAGATATGAACACTGAAATTCACTTAGTATAGTGAGTTTTTTCTGACTTATGATATTAATAAAATATTAGACGCACAACTGCTTGACTGAACATTTTTTTTGTAAAGCTCACTGCCGTGTAGATACATCAAAAATTTCGGTGTGATCGGATGAGTCATTGTTGAGATACAGAGTTTGTGAAAAACACCATTTCTTTTAAGTTCTGATTTTTAAAGCTTTTGGTAAAAAACTAATATAAAATCTACGATTTAATATTCTTAAAAATTGATAAGCTACCGATCGCTCCAATATCTATCGTAAATGGAACAAATTGAGCATTCTCAGTTGATCAGAGTCAGTTATCACTCACATAGACTGGCTCATAATATACAAAGCATAAGTTTCATTGTCATATTATCTTCGTGTTTGACTGAATCAAAAAGGCAAAACATTACCTTTTATTAGTCACAAAAAATTGAATGAGAGTTGATAAACTGTACGGATTACATCCATCATAACTTCAGAAATTTGCAGTAGTGTGCATTTTATCGATCTTTTCATGAAAAAATAAGTGAATGATGAATTTTTCTTCATGTGCTTCCTTATGCTGCAACGAAAGAAAATTTTTCAATCTTTTGTGCTTAACTTTAGACCATATTTTTTCTTGAATTGAAAACCTTTCATTTTCAGAAATAATCAGAACACTATTCTCGTATTCTGTTCCATTCTTTGTCTATCATAATAACATTTTATCCAAATATGAATTATGGCACAAATCAAAGGAAAAGCTAAACGTAAAATCACTTTATCTTGGATTTGGATGATCAAATGCATTTGGTTATTAACTTTGGCATTTATTATTGTTCAAAGCCAATGGCTATTAAGTTTAACACCATTTAAAAATCTTTCTTTAATGAGCATTGGAAGTAATTCTAGAACGGTTAGTTCAGGAAATTCGAAAACCTTCGATAAAATTTGTCAATGGTACTTTTTAAATTATACACCAAGTTCATGGGAAAACTTTTGGTTTACGAATATTGAAGAATTTCAAAATCATGTTTGTGAAAGACTAACAGATGAAAAAAATCTAAATAAAACAGCATTAATCGTTGAACGATTGATGGAATTACAAAAACTTGGAAGAAATCGTACCCGAAGCGATAAACAACAGGCTGATGAGCTTCTATCAAAAATGTTTTATCGACAAGAATGTGTCAATCCACTAACAAAAATATCGTTCCAACAAGCAGAAGTATCGCAAGTAATTGAACCACTCATTGGTTTACTAAGAGATCCTTTAACGATGTGTAATCGCACTAGTTCATTACCTACATTTCTTTATGAAGGAGCAGAAATTGAGTCAAAACGATTTATCTTATTATCAGTTGCAGCTCCATTCTATATTCATTTATTACCACAAAACCATAAAGACATTTTACAAATCAATATTCAGTCAAATCAACGCAATATGAATTTACTTCCTTGGATGTATCAAAGATCGAAATTGAATTTGTTAGACATGAAATTCGACCTAGATACGAGAAATGGACAAAATATTTTGATTGATTTGGGAAGTTCTTATTTTCAAGACAGAGTTAATGATACTAGTGCCTCTTCAGGACGCTGGTTCTATGAAAATTACAAACGTTTTGGTGTTAAATTCGATCGTATTATCGCTTATGAGCATGCTCCATTAGATCCCAAAAGAGCTTGGGAACAACTGCCTGATGATGTTGTCCCAGCTTATACTCTGATTAATGTTGGTTGTACAGCAAGTGGAAAATTCAATCCTTGGGTATTGCTGAAAACAATTGCTAAACCATATGACCATGTTGTTATCAAACTAGATATTGATACTCCGGCAATTGAGTTTCCTCTCATAAATCAACTCTTAAATGATTCAACTATTTATTCTTTAGTAGACGAACTATTATTTGAGCATCACGTTGCTGTGAAAGAAATGCAACGACATTGGGAAAATCCGTCGGAAACGTTAAGAGACTCATATGTTTTGTTTAGGAAACTGCGGCAACTTGGAATACGCATGCACTCATGGCCATGAGATTGGGTTTTCGAACAACAAGAATCAGATCTAGAAATGAAACTCACCTCAAATCTTTTTTGTGAGTCTAGTAGAAAAATTTTTACATCATACAAACCTTTTCTATTTGATATATTGTACGTCGAGATGGTTACCATGCATACGCAGTTAATAAAACATGCTTCACTGTCAGAGGCCAATTTCCTTCGCACTGAATGGATGAAGTCTAGAAATATATGTTTGCTTTTGTGAAACGCAGTAATAGAAACGAGTAAATACCTAAGTCGAGTTCGAATATACATGAAAAATTCGAAAAAAACAACTTCCATGTTAAATCAGCAAAGAAGCAAAAGAAACAGTTTATATTAATTATAGTTTATAAATTTATAAATTCGAAGAGTGTGAGTATGGGGTGGCATGTGTATATTGGTGTGGGCACGTGCCTTCTGGTATAACGATACTCATACCCACCCCACCCACACTCCACACCCTCTATTTAAAATAAACTTACTAGTTGTCTAAGAAAAAAACTCATCTGATCGTCAAAGACGTAATGTATGTAAATTGAGGCATATTGACCTTAGGGAAAAGTACAGGATGTTTACTAATATAAACTGATTCATTAGAGTCATGATAACAACTAGGAATGTCAAATTCAACGTATCGAACAGTAATTAATAAATTCTTTTTTAATTGATTAAATGCTTAACAGAAAAACGAAAACAGCTAGATAAAGTATATAAAACAAAATAAAACTGGATCAAAAATTAAATGATAAATTCTAAATAATAGAAAAACGATAAGTGCAGACGGTTTGTTAAGCAAAACTCACAATCTCAAAGTACTACATATGACATGATTTTTTCCATACTCCAGGATTTTGTTTATAATTGAAAAATATTAGCAGAATTTCGATTGAATTCTTCTTATTAAGATGATAATATGTTGTATATCTTTTTTCCAGAGAGGCAATATGAATGATATACTATACTAGTGAAGATAATATTCTGTCAAAGGTTATTACTTTTTTAAAATTAGAAGAAATATTTCGTTTTGATCAAGAAGAAAGTGTTTTTAGAAGAGTTCGTCTTCCAATAGCATCATTAGGATTCTATTAAATTTCTCCTTATGTTTTGAAATTCTTAGTAGAATTTTATTTTTCGAAAACAGAAAGAGTATCTGATAGAATTTATTTTTCTTTACTGACTTCACTCTTTCATCAAAATACTATTTTATATAAAATTCTTAGTAGAATTTTGATTTGATTGAAAAGAAAATGTGATTCGCGAAATTAGTAACTCTTGTGCATTTTCAGTAATTTCTTTCTCAAAACAAAGATATTTGACAGAATTTATGTGATGGCACTAAAAAATTAGAATTTTAACAAAATTCTATCGGTTGAGAATTCTACAAGCTTAAATACAAAGAAACCTCAATATAGATATAGTTTGAGGAGAAAAAATCAAATAGAATAAATTTTTACATATCCAATGACATGTAAGAACCATTGGAATTTTTCAACTTGAAGATATTTGAGTTTGACACGCATTGAAATAACATGAGCTAGTACTTTTGCATCTTCTTTATTTCAATTCATTGATTTATCTCAAGCATCTAAAAAAAACTTCTGTTGATATTTTATCTATGAAAATCATAGTTTTCGAGCAACAACGATAATAATTTATTCTAATCAATATTTGTTAGATTTCAAAACTTAATTTCATAAAGTATATGAATTTAAATCGTTCACTTAGTAATTTTATGTATTGCAAAGATAAGAGCTGAAGAATAGACGCATTGCTTTAGCTGATAACTCGGAAGACGATAGTATTTCAAAGAAAGCACTAGTTTTGTTTTGTCAAAAAGTTCTTCATTCAACCCTCTACAAATCTGTATAAAGAAAAAACATTTAAGAATAAAAAAAACTAAGTGTAAAGCATCGTGAATAGAAGAGAGTAAGACACAAAAATGATGTATTTTCTAAGTTCATTTTTCTTATACTGTTCATGTTAGATATGAAACGTATGAGATAAAAGCAAATCTAATGAACCCCGTTGAAGCTCTTTTTCTTTGATTGCAATTCAAAATTTCTTCAACGCCTTGACTCGTTTGCGGATAAGCTTTTCTTTGACAGTAATTTCAAATTTTTTGTCAGAACTTTGACATCGTCTCATGAAACTTCTGTATTTAAGCCATAAAATGACTTTTTCAAATCAAATATCACTATTATTTTGAAAACAAATGATTTGTCTATCAGTCTACACATCTGTCTGGTACACATTTTATGTATCGTATGGAAATGTTTGAAGAGAGCACAAATTTCGTCGATTTGACGTCGTTCTGCATGAAATATCTTTATCTGTAATGTATTAATATTCAGTTCAAACGATCTTTTTTGAACGTAATAAGAAAGAGAATATATAGAAACATTGAACAACTACGCCAAGGTTGTAGAAATCGTCATTTTCATATCTGATAGTCCTGAGTTCATAATGTTTCACGGTTAGTTTTTACATTAAAATATTTTATTCAGATTTGTATAGAATTGAAAGCAGAATCTATTGGCAAAAGATTGAAACCTAACCAAAGCTGGACAACAATTCTGAACTTTCTCGAGTACGAGTACCACTACTTCGAAAAATGTGTTCAACATCGTTACATCATGAATATTGAGTATATATAAGTGCACTTTTACATAAGACTGAAGAGCAGATTATGTACCTGGTCTCACTTTAATATGATACATTTTATCTAAAAGGAAGATGACGAATGACACCATTTATCTGCTCTCAAAATATTTTATTTTATTTTTTTTTATATTAAAATTAATGCAGCGATATCACCCGAAAATATAATAATAATTTATTTCGCATTCTCTCTTGAACAGTTTTTTTTTGAGCTCCATTCCTAGTCTTTCACGGAGTCAACAAAATCTTGGTCATTTTTGTATAGAGGTACTAGTGTGACTTGAAAAATTGATTGAGAGATGTTAAAGAAAACATGGCCTTATCTAGTCTCATCCTTTAGAGTGCTTCATGCTCGAGTACTAATATGAGTACGTTCTGTGTCTTATATTCGAAAGTTTGGAATGAATTTCTAAATATATTTCATTTTGCGAAAGAATTGCATAAAATCAAATTTGAACTTTTAATTGGAGTTCATTAGAATAAAAAATTGATTGAAAGAAATTTCGTCCTGAAAATATGATATTTATGAATATCTGTTTAACAAAATGTATAATTAACTATAAATATCTCTTCATTGATCATTAATGAGCTTTATGAGTAGTTAATTTTACTAATCAATTTGACTAATTTCAATTCAATTTAAATGAATGTGAACCGACCAAACAGTTTTAATTCTGTGAACTAAACTAAAACTACCAATATTCAATTATAAATTTCTTGTGCTAGATTTTCTGAAAGAGAATATTCGTGATTATGCCTTAAATACAAAATTTCTTTTAGTCAATTTTCTCTTCTAACTAACTCAAATTCTTGGAACTGAATTTAATACAATCTTTGTTTTATCTAATGAATACTTCTGCTTCAATCAATGTCAAATTTGACGAGGTTAGTTGCTCAAGAAATAATTAATGCGATGGATGAACATCAATCGAAATATGTCGAATATTTGATCATTCAAAAAGATACGGATAACTATGTATATGAATACATCTCATAGGACTTGATATAAATATTCATATTGAAAATTTTTAGCAATGTAATTTTCATATATTTTATTTTTTATTTATATATGAAATAGAAATTCATTTTACAAATATATATCTATTTTGTCTAATTGCTAGTTACGGGGTTGGGTGTGGGTTGTGCGATGTGGATGGATATGAGTGTTAGAGTCCATCGGGTTCACGAATTTTTGAACCCGGACCTGGATCCGACTGATTAAAATTTGCTGTACCCGGACCCGGACTCGCTTGAAACAAAATCTTCAAACCCGGATCCTAGCCGGGTCCGCGTAGGACCCGATGGGCTCAAGTAGGTGTAGATGTAGGTGTGAATGTGGGTGTGGTTCTTTCTGTTCACACCCTACACCCGCACTCACACCCTACACCCGCACTCACACCCTACACCCACACGCACACCCACACCCACATCCACACCTACATCCACACCACACCCCACACTCACACCCTTTTCTCCGATCTGACTTATATATTCTTCTCTGTTCATGGCTATTACTGTTCCTTTTTTATCTACAGGTATTAAGATTATATTTTTCATGTTTTGAATTCTTTTGTGGCTTTTTGTTTTTTCGGTCCTTTCTATGTTTTCATAAATGTATTGATTTGAGAAATAGCTAGTGTAACGAAATTGGTGAATGCAGCTCTACCACTGGTTGGACATTGATGTTAATGAGCTACTAGTGCATTCCACTATCGTTAATGACAAATGGAGAGGCATATTTATGTCTTTAATCCCATAGTGATGGGCATGACGTTTATTCGACTATGCTCTACATCCAAATGTAACAATCTAATACACAACATGAGCTTATATAGGAGAAGGATGGAGAAGAGGAGAGAGAATAGATGATACAATACAAAAAGGAGAAAGGAAAGAGGAAAGATATAATGGAATATTACGCATTATAAGATTAGTTAACGGTTGTTGTAGAAATGACATCCATCTTCTTATGTCACCCTTGATGATCCAGTGGTATTGAGAAGATATGTTAGTGTCGTATGACGTAATAACCATTAGCATAATTAGCAAAGATGACGTGCTTCTTGGCACATCATACCATCATATCGTTTACATATGAATGACACGTTTGTATTTACGAGTAGAATAGGAAATGATGCTAAGACAGATGATGAGGTCAAAGATACAACAATGTACGAATGAACAAGTAATGATGCCAAGGAGAGAACAGATATATATTATTGAATGAGAAGCACATTACGACAGACAGAAACAACGTTTAATCATAAAGAGATAACCGTAAGAGTAACGCGATTAAGTACGCAACATATCATTGATTCTACAAGAGCACACTGA